ATAATAATAATAATTTTTTTTTTATTTTTCAATGAAGCGAATGAATTAAGGATAATGTGTATCTAACTATATGAGAGAACATTTAATTTTAAAATAACCAAAGGCAAGAGAGGCAACTGGTTTACGGTACTTTTAGATAGATTTAAGTTTCTAAAAATTTCTTGAGCAGTTACTTGGAATTGTTTTAATCATTCAATACTTAAAAACTTTTCTTTTTTTTTTTTGTTTTGTTTTCCCATTGAAGGAAAACCCCGTGTAAAATTATTATCAACAAAAAAAAAGTTTTTTTGTATGTTTGTTTTTGTTTAAAAAAATACATGAGTGGGACATTTTTTTTTTTTTTTAAATTAAATTTTACAGTTAGTGTTAGTTTTTTTTTTTTACATTGAGGTTCTCAAATGGGTTTATAGTTTATTAACGAGACATGTTGGAAAATATTAGTTTTATTAAAATAAATTTAAAACTTTAAAAATAAATTGCATTATAATAAATATAAATTTTATGTTATTAATCATGTTCAAATGGGTTCGATTGGGAACTGATTTTAGAAAACGAAATGGGGTGAGTTTAATACTAATTTTTACATCAGTTTAAATATTTTAAAACAATAAAAAAAAAAAAAAATTATTATTGACCGTTAAAAATACAAATTAATTTAATATTTTAAATTTAATCCTTTTTTTTTTTTTTTTTTTGCAGGGAAGCGATCCTAGAGTTGCAACTTGTCGGGGAAAATTACAAAATAAAAGATCAAAATTAAATCAAGAAATAAACAAAGAATTGAGATTAAGAGCCGGCGCCGAAAATTTATTCAGGTATATTTAAATATTATATTTAAAAAATATTATAAAATAATTTTTTTTTCTTATAATTAATGATTTTCCATTTTAGGGCTACAAATAATAGAAAATTAAAGGAAACAGTAGCTCTTGAATTAAGCTTTGTTAATTCTAATTTACAATTGCTGAAGGAACAGTTAGCAGAGCTTAACAGTTCAGTAGAATTATATCAAAATGAAGAGTAAGTTTCATATTTATTTTACAAATAAAAAAAAAAGTTGTACTAATAATTTTAATTTACTTATATTTATTCGTTTTAATAGTTTGATAATATTTTAAAATTCGTAATGTAAAAAAACTTACCTTTTTTTTTGTTGTTCAAATCTTTGATAAATTTGTGTAGTTTGAACGCATGACCAATTTTTTCCAATTCTTTTCCTCGTTCTCACAATATTTTATTTGAATTTTAATATCTGTAAATAAAAATAAAAAAAATTTTATATATTAAATTTTGTATTAAACGATATCGAAATTTTTTTTTTTTTTGTTGTTGTTTACAGAAAAGGACCCATTATACCCTTGATACCTTTGGGTTTAAAAGAAACCAAAGAAGTTGATTTTAAAGAACCTTTTAAAGACTTTATTCTAGAACATTATTCGGAAGAAGGAAATTTATATAGCGATGTCATATCACAAGTAATGGATTTACGTCAGGTAAAAAAATAAATTTATTTTATTAATATCATCCTAATTTTTTTTATTATAAATAATTCAAATGATTTACTAAATTAAAATTCATTTAAAAAACAAGTTTATAATTAAACTTTTTTTTTTTCAGGCTATTAGAACTCCTTTAAGAGATGAAAATGGTATTTCCTTATTATTTCAATATTATAATCAATTATACTTTTTAGAAAGAAGATTTTTCCCTCCTGATAGAAGTTTAGGAATATATTTTGAATGGTGAGTAATCAACAACAACAACAAAAAATTACTTGTATTTAAATTTCTGTAAGATTTAATTGTTTTTGATTCCCCTCCGTCCCCCTTATAGTTATTAATTTTTTTACAATTAATTTTCAGGTATGATTCATTAACGGGAATTCCCAGCTATCAGCGAACTGTTGCTTTTGAAAAGGCTTGCGTTTTGTTCAACATAGCCGCCATTTACACTCAAATAGCAGCAAAACAAGATCGTAAGTCTATAAGTGGTTTAAATAGCGCTATAGAAGCTTTTCTACGTTCCTCTGGTACGCTAAAATACATTAGCGAAAATTTTACAAATGCTCCAAGTACTGATTTAAATACCGAAATGTTGGAAATGTTGGGACATTTAATGCAGGTATTTTATATATTTTAATACTTTAATATTTTAATATTTAATACTTTTGAAATAAGTAAATGTTATTGACAAAAAAAAAAAAAAAAAAAATTTTTTTAGGCTCAGGCAAAAGAATGTTTTTTAGAAAAATTAGATTTGTCACAAGAAAGTGATGAAGATAAAACTATTGATGAGTTGTTAGATTTAGCACAAGAAGGAAGTCACGTGGCTGATATTTATACTCACGTAATTAAATTAATTTCACCTGTCAAATGTTTCGTTCCGTATACCTGGATATCACTCGTCACATTAAAAGTTGAATACTATATGGCTATGGCACACAGGTTTTGCGGTATGGCTTTGATGAATACGGAAATGAAAAATTTCACGGCCGACACCATAGAACGTTTAAAAAGAGTTCACTATGTTTCCGACGACAAATTACAAATAGATATATTGTTTCCTAAAAACGAGGATGATAATCAATTATTAGGTAAATGATATTATATTATTATTATTATTATTATTATTGTGTTTCACATGGGTAAATGCTTACAAAAATTTCTCGCGAATTTTCAGCGCGGGCTCATTTGAAAGAATCATTACTCAAATTTGAAGAAACATTAAGATTGCACAGAATGTGTAGAGAACTGAAAAATAAACCCGGTTTAGAAACCGTATTAAAGACTTATCATTCATTAGCTTTAAATTTATATTCAAAATTTGAAGAGAAAAACGATTTTAGAGATGTACTCGAACCTCCGCAAATAATACGTGAGTATGTTTACCTGATAATACGATAAAATAATAATCTTAATATTATGAGAAATTAATATTTTTTTTATGAGATTCGCGCGAATAATTTCCGTTTTCTCTCTCTCTCTCTCTCATTTTGGTTTCCCTAACTCTGTATATATTTTTTATTAATTTAATTACTATTTGCTACTTACCCGTTTATCTTTTCTTTCTTTTTTTATTCGATGCGTCGATCATAATCTTTTTTATTTTTTTACGCCGATGAAAGTATTTCAATTAATTTATTATACAATTTGTTTTTTGAATCGTTATTTCTATTAATGATGTCCGGTTTGATGACACAGTTTTGCCAACATGTATTTGTTGATCTTGTAAAACTGGATGGACATGAGGCTCTAGATATCACGTTACCGGATTTGAAATTTCATTTTTTTCTCGTTAGCTTCTTCCTATTCATGTTCACTAAAAGAATTTTTTTATTACCTAGAATGAAAAATGTGTTATTATTTAATCTTCTTTAAATAAATAAATAATTTTTTTTTTATTTTTAACCAAAACTTTAATTAATTATTTTAGCTTTAACAAAATTTACCTTTTCGATAAAGCAACCGGATTTTGCACAATATCGGGTTGACGACATGTTTAAAAAACTTGGTCCTTGTGCCGTTTTTTCTGCCAAACATCATTGGAGTGCACCTCGTTTGGTACAATTACAAAGAACGAGTAAAAAAGAAAAATTTGGATTCACAGTAAGAGGTAGTTGTCCCGTTATTGTATCTGGAGTTGATCCTCATAGTTTAGCTGATGTAAGTACAACAACGACAGCAACAATTTTTTTTTTTTTTGTTTTCTATTTAAATTTATTTTATCCCGTTTTGTTGTTGTAAATTTAGTTCGGAGGAATTAAAGAAGGTGATTATTTGGTGTCGGTTGGAGACGAAGATGTTAAATGGTATTCAAACGATCAAGTAACAAATTTGTTGGAATCCGCTGGAGATTCTCTCTCACTTAAACTCGTAACACCTATGAATAAAAATAATTCAAAAGTTAGTTTATCATTAATTTTTATATAATTTTAAAATAAAAATTATAATTAATAGTTTTTTTGTTAGTTTTCGTATAATTACTTTTTTAGATTTTTTTTTTTTTTCCATTTTAGTAGGTTTTGGAAGGTTTTAAATGTTCATCCGTCGTTTTGGATTCCAGTCAAACATCAAATGATTTAAGTAATAATAGATCATGGACGAAAGGAATTCAATTAATTCATTCTTCTCTTCTTTCCGATATAAATTTAAAAAGACTGACGTGGAATCCTTTTAAAAAACAAAATTCAACAGGATCCGTTTTAGATAATTCCTACGAAACGTAACAAAAAAAAAAATAAAAAAATTTTTTTTATACATTCACATAATGTTATACTGTAAATAAAAAAAAAGTACGAATAAAAAATTTTATTTATTTATAACGGTTTTAATTTATATTAATAACATATCATCATCATCATCATCGTCGAAATTAATAATAAAATTGTGATTATTAATAATTTCGAATCCTGTTTGAAAAAATTTTATTCGTTATTTGAGAAATTTGTTGTTTTATTTGAAAAGGTTTAATACGCACCTATATATTTGAAAAGTGTCAAGGTCAAAGTGCAAATATCCTCCTGAAAAATAATTTTAATAAAAATAAGTTATTAAATATATATATGTAAACATTAATATAATATATATATATATATATATATATATATATATATATATAGTAATAGATATACATATTATTGGAGTTCACACTGTGTGAAAATTAAAAGGGGGGAAAAGAAATTTTTTTTTTTTTTTCTTGTATTGAGTCGTCGGCCATAACTGAAAACAGTTCACAATGTGGTTGGTAAATAAATGTTTATTAATGTCAAAAATGATTCGATTAAAATTAATAAAACTGGAGGGCGATTTAAATCTTTAAATAAAACCGCGAGTTGTAAAATGTAAATTTTAAACGTATATTCTATTGTGATTTTCTTTTTTTTTTTTTTTTTACTTTTTTTTTTTTTTTTGGGGGGGATTTTATCGAGAGAAAAAAAAAATTAATTATGGATCTTTGGCAATCAATATTACTGATTTGGTACCTTTTTAATATATTAAGTGTTTCTCATATTAAAGGTTTGTATTTATATTTTTATTTTATTTATTTTCGTGTCATTTAATTTATGTAAAATAAATTTTCAAAATCTTTTTATAATTTTTTTTTTTTTTTTTTAATATTTAATTGCACGCAATTTAAAATTAATAATTATTTTTTGTATCAATTTAAAAACAAAAATATTTTTTATGTATTTATTAATAAATAATTAATTATTAATTTATTTTTATTTCATTTCAAAATAATTTTATCACGAAAATTTCGATTTCGTTTGTTCTTAAGAGTCCTGATTAATAGAATAAAATAAAAATTTTTTTATATAAATATAAGGGGTTTAATTATTTGACGGGGGGTGGGGGAAAGCATCAATTTTTAAATAAAAAAAAAAAAGTTATAAAGTTTAGAATTGAAATTAACACACAATGACTCGAATAATTCACGTTTAAAAATAATAATAATAATAATAATAATAATAAGCATGAAAAAAAAATGAATACGTCAAAATTAAACAACAAAAAACCACATGTGCGATTCCAATTGGATTTAAGAACTAAAAAGCTTGAAATCATCATCATTATTATTCTTATTATTAAATTTTTTTTTGAAAGAAATTATTATCCGTTTTTTCTCCCCCCTCCTCCTCAAAAAGCAATCATTTAAAAATGAAAATTTTTTTTTTTTTTTTTATTGAACACCCGGATCGAAATTTTTTTTTTTTTTTTTATATATCGTGCCAGAAAAAAAAAAAAAAAATAATAATAATAATAAATGACAAAAAAGGGAACCCATAAAAATATATATAAACGAATGTTAACTTTAACCTTGTACACGAGACCCAAGGATTCGATTAACGTGGGGGATAAATAAATAAATAAATTCGTTCTCGTGAATTCATTTTTCAAACGTCATTCATCGTATATGAAATTTTTTTTTTTTTTTTTTTAGGAAACCTTATAAACGATGGTACGAAAAATAATAATAATAATAATAATAATAATAATAATAATACAACGGATGATGATGTTGGTAACAGTACTTATTTATCAAAAGATGAAAATGCATTTTTCGAAGAAAATGCATTCGATGATAACAGTCAATTGTATTTGACACTTCGAAACGTTCCACCGACTGTTTGCCCGAGAAACGATGTCGAAGCTGTTGCAAAGGTATCATTATTATCATCATTATCATTATTAATATTATTTAATTAATTCAAAATAATTTAAGTGTTTTTTTTCCCCCCTCTTTTTATGATACAATTGACCTATGAATTCATTTGCATTTATTTCAATTTTATTTTTAAAAATTAATTAATTTTCATTTGTTTTTATCATTATCATAGGGTCAAAAGTGCATGAGAAAATGTTCCAGTCACGAAGATTGTAAAAGTTTAAAAAAATTATGCTTGTGCGATGGAAGCTGTGGAAATTCTTGCATTAAACCGGGTAAGATATTTCATTTTAATTATTATTATTATTATTATTAATAAATAGTTTGCGTAGAAATATATATTTAGATGAAAGTTAAATAATTTAAATGCTTCACGCTGTTTATTTCTATAGGGAGTCATTAATTAATTAATAGTTTTTTACTTTTAATTATGTTTAATTTTTACCCCTTTTAATTAAATATATACTTAATAAAAAATCTAATTATAAAATTTATCATTATTATTATTATTTAAACGGATCTACTTTTTATATGTAATTTTTTCTTAAAAAAGTTTGGAAATTTCCACAACTATTTTTTTAACGAACCGCGATTTATTTTTTTTTATTAATAATTTTTAAAAAATTTGTTAATTATTATTATTTTCGTTAAGTTAGTAATTTTTTAATTTATTTAATTTAGGCATTTTATTATTATTATTAGTATTTTCACTATTAAACACGACAAGACTCTTATTTGTCGGGGTTTTTAAGTATTTATCCCAGGTTTCTACCCGATTCCTTAGGGTTATTAGTATTATTATTATTAGTATTATTATTATTATTATTATTTGCATGTATTTTACTATTAAAAAGTTTTTTTTTTCATCAGAGGCATTTATTTAATTGAAAATTATATTTTTATATTAAATTTATAGAATTTAACTACGGCGCTAATGCTTTCTTTTGACTCATTTTTATTTTAAAAAAAAAAATCAATCTCCCTCCCCTCCCATTCCCCCTCCATTTGTTATTCCCTTATTATTATTATTATTTTTTCCAAATGGCATAATGTAAATTAAATAGCTTTTTTTTTTTAATTTTTGATAAAAAAGAAAAAAATTGACAAACCTGAAAAAATTCCTTATATTTTGAAGAGTTTTCCTTTATATTCTCCAGAATGACACGCCTCCTCACATCCTCCACGCCTCCGATCTTTTCTGGCGGTCCTTTCGTAGACATCCTCCAGGTTTCGGATATTCTTCGCTTATCATTTGGTTAAGAAGCAAGAAGACTGGACCAATTTTTCTTTTTTTTTTTTTTTTTAAGCTGATAAAAAAAAAAATAAAGGAAAGAGTCAAAAAAGTACTCTAATTTTTATTTTTGTTTTCTCTTTTTCAAATTTTTATTAATTTCAATGACTTTTTTTTGTGATGCTTCATAACGCTTTATATATTTAAAAAAAATTATTATTATTATTATTATTTTCGTTTTGTTTTATGTTCTTACCTGTCAAATTTTAAAAATTTTAAAAATAATTTTACAGATCGAGAATGCGTTAACGTGGATAGTCCAGAAAACGGTTTCATTTCTGGACACGGACGAATGTTTAACGACAAAGTTAATTACACGTGCGATGAAGGATTTTATCTGGTTGGAAAACCACAAAGAACGTGTCAAGCAGACGGTTCGTGGAGTGGAACAACACCTTTGTGTAAAAGGAACAGTGAGTATCGCTCAAATCACTATAATAAAAAAAAAAAAAATAAATAAATTAGACATTTAAATTAATATTAGAGTGACTGACTGACTGACTGACTGACTGATTGACTGATTGACTGACGTCATTCATGTAGTTTATTTTTAAAGATATAAATTCATTGTCACGTGAAAATTGTAGCGTTTATGTGTGTGTCTAAGCCTGATAAATAGATTCTCCTCTCAAATGCTATACCTTATACTATTATATTATATTTTTAAAATATATTAATCCACAGACGTTTATTTCATTTTCAAATAATAAATCAAAATTTTAATGAATTTTATATGTATTTATATTATTTTGCAGTAGAAACGAACGTTTCAATTCAACTGCAATGACAAACAAAAAAAAAAAAATTTTTTTTGTTGTTTGCAAAGCAAAGCGTGAATGATTTATTATTTTATTATTTGTTTGTTAACAATACAATAAAATGACATTTTATTTATCACCTGTAAATTTTAGAGAATTTATCATAAATAATAATAATAATAATTAAATCACAAGAATTATTAAAATTTTTTTTCTAAATTATTTGTTTTTATATTTAATTAATTATTTTGTTTAAAAAATGTCATTTTGTAATTTTATTCCATCGATCAAAAATTTTTAAACTTTTTAAAATCATTTTTTATTTATGTTTCGATATTGTAATCATTTCCTATTATTATTATTATTATTTGTGATTACGAGATTAAATATATATTAAAAAAATTATTTTATATTTTTAAAATTTAAAAATTGTTTATTGTTTTAATTTTTGTTAGAAATTATTAGCAAAATTTATTATTATTATTATTGTATTTTATTGTAAGCGACGAGAATGATAAAGAAATTTATTCATCATCATATTTATTATTATTATTATTATTATTATTATTATTATTATTACTTACTATTCACGACAATTCGTTTTGTGTTTGTCCCCGATCCCTAAGGAATGAATACCTTAATATTAGTGATGCTACGTCTTCGAATAGGTTTTCGTCTTTTATAACCTAAACATCACCACATCAATTCTTGTGAGTGTACCTGAATTGAACTCCGGTGACGACAACATCTGTGGGTTACTCCAGATGTTGATGTACCTCCTTTCAGGAGGAGTAAAAATCACATTCCCGTTGTTCTGAGACAGAAGAGCTAGAATTATTTTTGTCTTCTTTCTTCTTCTTGAAGCCGACGGGGCCCGATATTGTTCCCAAGCGACGGCCACCCATCCAAGTACAAATCGCGGGGCGGTGTATTCAGCACGCCACGCCCGTTGACTTTATTATCATTATTATCATTTTTATTATTCCTTTTCATTCTTGAACAAGGAAAGGATTCTTTGTACTTGACGGAATTTTTAAACATTTATTCCAGGTCTCATTCCTTTAGGAATAGATTCTAGAATATGGGTGGAGCTATTTATAAACTTTTCCGAAGAACGTGGGCCGTCCTACAAAACGGGATTTCCTGCACGGTTTCTTTTTTTTTTTATTTTTGATAATCTACTTCAAATTTTCCTTTTAATGCGTATGTGATGTGGCTTCCGGAAGGTCCCTCGATGGCGGGAATTGTTTCCGTTTGTATTTGCAATTTCTATTTACAAATATCTGGTGTTTTTTTCCTCCGCTACGGACACTTAATTTACACCATTTATCATTATTATTATTACCACTTATTATTTGAACTAAAAAAAAGTTTTTAAAAGACTAAAACTAATTTATACTGTAAATTTATTATTGTATGAATTATTCTTACGATGCTGCGACATTTTAAAAAAAAAAAACCTCAAATCTGGTATTTTATCATTTAAATTTACGTATAATATTTTTGTTTTTTTTTTTTCTTATCTCAGTTCTTTTCTTTTTTTCTTCGATATAAAATAAATTAAATTTAAATCGAAATTTAAAAAAAAATAGGGGGAAAAAAAGAATCGATTTTTGTTTTGCCGTGTATAATAATTAATTGAGATTAACCATCGTTTGGTTGTTGGGATATTCAAGCGTTCGACTTATAGTTCGAGTAATAATATACTGCAAAAAAATATTTCAGTATATTGTACGAGACCTCCAGTCGTGACGCATACCAGTCATAATCCACACCACGACCAAACAACATTTCCATTAGAAACCACATTGACATATCAATGTAAAAACGGGTATGCTACCGTTGGCTTTCCAAAGACAAAGTGTCTCAACGTTGATGGACGTGCTTCTTGGTTTGGACCTGACATGTCTTGCGAACGTAAGTCCTTCTTCTTCTTCTTCTTCTTCTTCATTGCCACGAGGGATCATTTTATTCTATTTACGAAGCATGTGATATCATTAATAATAAATTTTTATTTTTAATTTATTATTATATTTAATTTTATCAATTTAAAAAAATTGAAAAGAACTGAGTGTATATAATATTTATATATCATTTCATAATGGAAATGATTCAAGTTATTTAATTATTATTATTACTATATTTTTTACCAATTGACTTCCTCATTGATAAAATACCAGATATTGTATAAAATGTTTCCGGTTAAATTATTATACCTGAATCTTGTATTATTATTTATTATTATTTTTTGGTTTCTTGAAAAAATTTATGTTGTTGTTAATAATGACTGACGTGAGAATGAGAGTAATAAATATGGAATCCTTAATATTAATATTATTATTATTTTATTTTTGGTCTCGATAATTTTATTCGACATTTTTTTTTTTTTTTTACACGAGTAACTACATGAATTTATTTTTAAAAAGAGAAAACAATTTTTTTGTCTAATTTATATGTGGAATATTCGTAAAAAAAAAAAAATAATAATAATAATAAATTTACTTACTTTTTCATGACAGCATTGTCCTGTGGATCACCCGAAGAAATATCACACGGTTGGCATTCTGGTGATTGCTACACGTTAGGATGTGAAATTTCTTATCATTGCATGACTGGATTCGAATTAGTTGGTCCTTCAGAAATCCTTTGTCAAGCCAACGGTATTTGGTCTTCCGAACCTCCATCTTGCACTTGTAAGAAAAAAAATTTTAATTACAATATTAATATTATCCAATTGTTTTTATTAGTTAATGTTGTGTTTTTTTTTTTTTAAAGCAATATCCAGCGTGGAATGTCCTCCTCCAGACGATCCACCAAACGGAAAAGCAATATATACGTCACTTTCATACAATTCTGTCGTTTCATACGAATGCAAATATGGTTTCATATTAAGCGGATTACAAACTAGGAGATGTGGAGCCGATAGAAAATGGACAGGAACCGTACCTGATTGTAAAGGTTAGCATTTCTTTTTTTAATTTTTAATTTATCTAATATTTAAAAAAAAAAAAAAAATTAAATTTATTTCGACAAATAAATAATTGCACGGTCGGTTATTTCATTTTAAACTAAAACTTCTTAATAAACCTAATAATCCGTTTTTTTTTAATTTGCTTTGTTTTATTATAACTTATATTAATAATAATAATAATAAAACACAAATTCCAATTCCAAACTCCTATCACCAATTATTAACGTGACTAATTTTTTTCACTTTAAAAAAAAAAAAAATTATTAATGATATATAATTAATGAAATTGTTTAATATTATCATTAAAAATTATAAATATATAAATTTATTGATTAGAAAAAAAAAAAACTTTTGGTTTTATTATTATGCTTTGTTTTGTGTATTGCCATAAAGCCAAAAAATATGTGCATGTTTTATTTTTGCTTGCCGCATGAACTTGCACATAAAAGAAATCAACTGCGGTCATCCTGGTCATCTTTTCAACGGTTGGCTGGAAAACATTGAATCTGGTACCGGGTTGGGTGCAAGTTTAATATTTAGGTGTCACGATAATATGAAAATGGTTGGAAGTACATCAGCAATATGTCAGGTGGATGGAAAGTGGAGTTACCCACTTCCGGTTTGTTTAGGTAAATACAAATACGTTTAATTTTATTTACCGTAAAATGGACTCGATTGTCATAAAAAAATTTTTTTTTTATTCTGCACTATATTTTTTTTGTAGAAAAAGAAAAGATAAATCTTTTGATTTTGTTACCGATTTTAAAGTTCAAATTTTTCTACTCTATTTTAAATTAAACATTAAAATTTTTTTTTGACTTACAGCTCCGTGTGTCGTACCTAGAATATTGCATGGAAAACGGGTCGTTTTGGAATCTACTAACGAAACCGTATCAGAATTTCCTCTTGTTGTATCTCACGACGAACAGCTTAGCATCGATTGTGAAAACATGTATGAAATGGCAATGAACCACACACCGGTGCAATGTAACAACGGAACTTGGTCCCACATACCAGCATGCATACCCGGTACGTTCCTGAAAGATAATTAAAAAAAAATAATTAATAAAAAAAAGAAAAAAAAACCGTCATCACGTTTTTTAATTTTATTTAAAGCAAAATGTAAATCTTTGCCGAAACCACCAAAGAATGGAATAGTTATTGCTCCAAAAACGGATCATGGAATGAAAGCAAAATATAAATGCAAAGATGGATTTGCATTGAGAGGTTCTAATTTAACAGAATGTAATTTTGGACAATGGACTGGAGAACTTCCTCATTGTCAACAAGGTATCCTTATTTTTATTTTTTGTAGAATTATTTATTTAAAATAATTTTTTAATAACCTACAATTTATTTTAAATTATTATTTAACCGTTTTTTAATTATCGATTTTAATCAATTTTCAGTTTATTGTCCTTTTCCGGGATACATTGAAAATGGAAAAGTTATGTTAGTCGGTAATATGGGACTTTATGATTATAGACCCTACGTGAAAAAAGTAACAAATAATAAACAAATAATGTACGATTGTAATAAAGGCTACGCAATTATTGAGGGACCTCCAGGTGCAACATGCATTGATGGTCAATGGAGTCCAAAACAACTTCCAAGGTTTATTTTATTTTTTTTTTTTGTCTTTTGTTTAAAAAAAAACAAAATATTATTAATATTTTCACTCTCTCTCTCTCTCTCTCTCTCTCTCTCTCTTTATATATATAATATTTAGGTGATTTATTTCAGGTGCGAACCGGGATTTCATCCGAGATTAAGATGGCAAAGATCAGTTTTTATAAAGAAAAATAAAAGATATTTATTAATTAACATAATAAAAAAGTATATAAATAAATTAAAAAAATTCAACGACGTTAATAAAAACATTTCAATTAAAGAAAAAATAAAAGGTAAAAAGAAAAAAAAAAGAGAAATAAATATGAAAACATTAATTGCACACGATCGAGAGGGAAAATCGGGAAAATTGAAAATTAAAAATAAAAGAGCTTTATTAATGGGTCATCAAACGCAACAAAGGCAACAGCAATTGATGAGCCGTAGAAAAACCGGTTCTAGAACGGATTCAAAGAAAAAAAATAGAGGAGGAACCGGAAATGGAAACGGAAACGGAAGCGGTACAGATTACGATGATGTTGATCCCGATGATGAGAAAGGTGGTACAAATGTTAATAAATTGAAAATAGGACGAGGAAAAGGTATGAAATTTATTGAAATTCAATAATAGGTCACAAAGGAGTAAACGACCTCTTTTATATTATTATTATTATCATTTTCTTTTTTTTCTTTTTTTTAAAAACGAGCATGGGAAATTGTCTAACTAAAATTTATAACGGTTTTTTTTTCTTTTTTTTTTGTTATTTAAATTGACAAATTTTAAATTTACCTTCTTATAAATTCTTAAATAAAAAAATTATATTAACTGCATTATTAATATTTAAAATAATAATAATAATAAAAACGGTTATTAGTAGATTAAATATTAGTGATTGATTGATTTACCTATTTAGCTATACATGAATACATACATACATATATAAATTCTTTATGCAGTAAAAAAAAAAAAAGAAAAATTAATGAAAGAAGTAAAATAATAAATAAATAAATATATGTATGTATGTATGTTTAAATAAAAAAAAAAAACCTATTAATAAATAAAATGGCCAAAAATTAAAATAAAATTTCTTTCTGTAGTTATATATATATATTATTTATTCCTGAAAATAAAAAAAAAAAAAAAAAAAAAAACTGTTCGAACCAGGAAAAATAACATTTTTGTGTTTTCTTCTTTTTCCTTTCATTCTTTTATTATCCTTAATAATTTTTTTATGTTTCTTTATACATATACATATATACATATGCTTGTTTTTTTTTTTTTTTTTTTACCTTTAAATATTAATAATAATAATAAATAAAAAAGATGCATTAATAACAAAAAAAATTCTTCAATAATTTTCTTTCTTTCTTTCTTTTATTAATTTAAATTTTTAGTATGTATATATGTATATGAATAGAATATAGTCGACAACGCATAGTTATTTATTTATTTTAATAAATAATAATAATAATAATAAACGAGAGAACATTATTAACGTCGGTTGTTAGAAATTTAATAAAAGTAATGAAATAATCAATAATAATGATAATAATAATTATTGGGACGAAAATTAAATTAACCATAAATGTATATGCGATTTACGAAGAGGTGACAAACGTGTTGAATTTCATGTAAACCTGCGGGAAAAAATTTTTTTTTTTTTTAAACGAGATATCGCGGAATTCGGTGACACACGCACACACACACACACTCATACGCATTTTTTTTAATAATATGAAATAAAAATTATTTTTGTGAAAACTTTCGTTGTTCGGCTAATAACTTTTATTTAATCATTATTAAAAAAGTGTTTTCCGAATTTTTTTTTTTTCTTTTTTTCATTTTTAATTTTTTTTTTTTTATACATTTAAGTATTGTATTGTGTTTCAGTGCCTTGCGAGCCTCTGACTAATGATTCTTTCTTTGTGGTGCATGTACTTAAGCGTGGAAGAGACCCGAATGTGACAAACTCGGCGGGAACCGTGATCAAAGTGTCTTGCAGTCCTGGGTACGGATTAAACCTTATTAAAAATAATACGGCGAAATGCGTTCGCGGGTCATGGAAACCGGAAACTCCTCGATGTTCGGTTCTTCCGTGTACTTTGCCCGATGCCAACAATGGCATTTTTACTATGATCAACTCTGAGAAAACATTAAATTCGTCTCAACAGATTGAAAACGGACAAGTGATAGAGTTTTCTTGCAATCCCGGATATCTGCTTCAAGGACCGTCTAATTTACGTTGTTGGCAAGGACAGTGGGACATCAGTGGCCTTCCCGAGTGTAATCCTATGCCTTGTAAACTACCCGAAATTCCAAACGGTAGTTATTTGCTCGGATACAGAGCCGGTTTAACCATTGGTAACGGATCTAACGTTCAGTATATTTGCGACGAACATTATTCGAAAAATACAAAAAGTGACATTGAATGCTTACTGGGTAAACTCGTTCCCGAACCACCGGAATGTAAAAATTTAGGACTCGAAACGTGGTATCGCGCGGGAGAAGACATAACTTCAAAGGGAGGCTTGATATCTCAGGATAATCAAAAAAGAGCTTGCCCTCCTCCGGAACGCGTCCGAGGAAGCCTCATTTACAAAGACGGAGAATTAATGAAAGACGAAGACAAAAGTTTTCCGGACGGAACGGAAGTGACCTTTAATTGCGTGGCTTCCGTGATGGGAGATCGGACGACTTGGCGAATAACGTGCGAAGACGGAAGTTGGATCGGTCGTTCCATGGCTTGCGACTACGAACTTCACAAGGCTCTGTCTCAAGATCGGAACACTTCTTGTTCTTTTCGTAATTCAGAGCCAAACGTTGTTTCCTTTTTCAACGACCAACAAATCACGGAGGATCTGGTAGAATTTCCGAACGGATCAGTATTAGTTTCTCGTTGCGTAGATATTGGAAAATATGCTTTTAGCGGCGCCAACGTTCGCGAGTGCGTTAACGGAAAATGGAATTCGTCAAAGCCCGTTTGTTTCGGTTTAAATCAAGAAAATGATTACGCCTTAGAAAAACCTCCGACCATATTGTTTCGTCACCAATTTGGTCCGATAGCTCAATCTAACGAGGGAAAACTCATAGTTTATCCCGGAACAATTTTACACATGGAATGTTTATGGATTCGTCGTTTCGGAACTCCAAAGTGGCACGCCAGCCACGAATACCGCAAGTATCCCGAAGGTTGGTCGACGGATCCCGGCAGGGATTCTCAATTGGAATACAGATTGAGCATCGTCCACGCGTCAAAAGACGATTCCGGACTATTCACCTGCATGACTCCGACTCGACACACACACGGTGTTCAAGTTGTAGTGCAGGCGATTCACTGCCCCGTATTGCCTTCCCGTAAGGGCCTTACTATGAGTAACGTATCTACTAAAATGAACGCTCGCGTTCTTTTTTCTTGCTCAAATGGAAATTCGTTGATCGGCTCACAAGAACTTATATGCTTACCTTCCGGCAATTGGTCGGCTCCACTTCCCTTGTGTCAATCCATAGAGTGTCCAGATTTTAGTAATTTAACAGACAGCAACTTGCGCGTGTCGGTGTTAAATCGCGAAGTCGGAGGAAGAGCCATTTTCACGTGCGTATCCGGATTCGGATTGCAAGGCGTGGGCGAATCCGTTTGCTTGCCAACGGGAGATTGGTCTTTGCCGCTTCCCTCTTGCCAAGAAGTGCACTGCCTGAGTCCCGGAGTTCCGGAGAACGGTTACGTGTTAAATTCGGGTCCTTACAAATCAGGCGATATAGTTCAATTCAATTGCAATCCCGATTACATGATGAAAGGTCAACCTGTAATTATGTGTAAAGAATCTGGCAAGTGGTCGGGTTCTCTTCCCAAATGCGTGCAGGCTTGCAGTTATCCCGGCACTACCATCAAAGGCAGAATGTCGGCTGTTAAGTTTTATTATCAAGTTGGAGAAAATGTGACGTTTACGTGCGACGAAGGACTCGAACTCAAAGGAGCACCCATGTTAAAATGTTTGAAAACGGGTAAATGGAGCAGTTCCATACCAACGTGTAATCTTCCAGACTCGATCACGACATGAAAAGAAAAAAAAAAAAAAATCGTTATAACAAACATATAATCAATTAATTATTTTTTCGCCGATTTCATTCAATAATTATTCATTTATTAATTCAATAATTCACTGACTAGAAATTATAGAAAAAAATCTTACAAGTATATTACTCTCTTACATAAATATAAAAATAAGTTAAAATATTAATAATTTTATTTAATTAAAATAAAGTTTTTCCCCATTCACACATTCATAATGATAACAATTTATTATCTGACAATATGGTTGCCGTGGATTTTGTTTTTTTTTCTTTTGAAACAAGATAAAACGTTAAAAAAATTTTTTGTTTTTTAAATTAAAAAAAAAAAAAAAAAGAAAAGTTTTTTACTTTTGATAAAAACTTTAAAAAAATATATTTTTTCGAATGAAAAAAAATTCAATATATATATGTATGTATAATAATAATAATAATAATAATAATAATAATAAAGAAAAATTATGTTAATTTTGTTTCGATTCTGATTTTATTGTAAATAACAAAATGAAAACAATTTATTTTTATTTAACGTTATATGTGTCATAAATTGTCATCATTGTTTGTTAAAAATTTATTTTTTATTTAATTAATATTCAAAATAAATAAAAAATAATGTTTTTTTTTATTATTATTAAAAAATTAAAATAATAATAATAGTTATAATAAATTTATTTTATTTTATTTTATACATTTAATTAATAAAAATTAATTTACCCATTAAAAGTAATATTTGAATAATTTTTTCCTTATTATTATTATTATTATTATTATTAAATTTTATTAATTTTTTTTTGGTGTGCGATCATTCCGGGTCTGATTGTGCGGTTGCTGGAGTGAGAAAAACTTGAGTTCCTTGGGGAGCAACTTGAATTGCATTATTTGCAGACACTTGAACTGGACCCGTTTGTAAAATAACCGGTTGATTTGAATTGTTTTGCAGTTGCATTCTAATCATTTGAAGTTGTTGAGGAGTTAACTGTAACTGATAAATAATTATAATTAGTAAAAAAAAAACAAATTTATTTAAAATTCCCTTATTTGGGTAATGAAATGGCAAACTTTATTTTCTTCCCCTTCATCAATGAATGTTTATCCACATCAACGTTAGTCGTATTCTAACAAAACTTTATAGATTTCATTAAAAATAAAAAATATTTCACGGCTAATAAATTTTCCATGATATAATAAATAAATAAGGGATACTCACTGGAATACTTTGAACTTCTCCATTAGGGGTAACAATTTGATGAACTATTTGTAGACCACCCGTCGATGGAGTATTTTGTATTACTTGATTAGTATTAGAATTAGGTACAGAATTTGTTACGGTTGAATTACTCGACGAAGTTACCGTCTAAATAAAATTTTTTATCATAGTTTAAACAAATAAAAACATTTTTTCATTTAAAATTTGAATTTTGTAAAAAAAAAAAAATTACCTGTGCGGTGCTCGTGTTTTCCGCATTCGTATTTTGCAGTGCTTGCTGATGTTGTTGAGCTAATTGAAAATAATAATGAACCTAAAACAAAAAAAAACAAAATAAAAGATACAATGGCTAATTTAATTAAAGTAATTGATATTGTAATAACTTAATTTAAAACTTTAACCGATTTCAGATTAAGTCGTTCATATAAGTTAATAAACATTTTAAAAAAAAATACAAACTTGATCAGAATTAATGGCTGCTGTTTTATTTGTTTCACTTTTAACAGAAGCAGGTTTAATTTCTTCTCTTGGAACAATATCTATAAGGAAATCAAATTGGTCATATTTCGTTATGGCCATGGCTATATCATTTCTCTAAAAACAAAAAGAAAAAAAACATATTCTTTTATTTAGCTTCAAGTTAAATGTATCATGAGTTTCATTTCGACAACATATTATTTTTTTAAAAAAATTGTTGAAATTTCTCATATTAAATTATTACAAATTATTTATTACATATTATTTATTATATGTAAAAATTATTACATTATTATTATTATCGTTACAATTAATAAAACAACCAAGATGATAATAAATACACTCGTTATTATGAGTCAGATATATATTGTGGTTGTCACACAAACAGAGAAATATGTCTTTTATTATTGTCTTCAAATTAAGCACATAAAAACATTCTTCATATTTTTTTTTCTTTTTTTTGTTTATGTCAAAATATATCTATACAACAATGTTGTGTTCTAAGAAAATTATTTACTTACTTGTAAAGTTCTTCTTTTATTGTCTTCAGTGTGAATCCAAGCCCTTAACGTCAATTCGTGAATAAACATTTCAGCAGCTTTAGCAAATAACATGGGAGCTTCAGCTGAAATCATTTTAACATCTTCATCTAGCTTCATAATTTTTTTTATTCTAGCTAAGGGTAAAGCTTGAACTTTTAAATCCATCTAAAATAATACAAGATTCATATAATATTTGCTTCATTGTTTATTAGAAGTCTTCATCACTAATTAAATTTAACTTCAGCTTCAAATTAATACTTACTATTTTTATTTTCTTAATTTCTTCATTAACTCTTGGCCAAAACGATGCTAATGCTTGATGAGCTTCTGACAGTGTCTGAGTAATGGCCGATGTAGGAGCAATACCATTTTCATCCAATGTTTCTTCAGCGTCACTCCTGTAATTTTACATAACTTTAATTCGAAATTCAAGTAAAAAGAAATGAATCGAAATTAAATGTATTAATTATTAAAACTAGTGTTTCCTGCTAGTATTTGGAAGAAAAAAAACAACAATTGTAAAATCAAATATGTGAATAAAATTAACTAACCAGAATCTACTTAATTTAAAAAAAAAAAATTTTTTTTTCTTTTTTTAAATAAAATATTCAACTTACGCATTAACATAATACACAGACATTTTACAGCCTGTTAGTTAACAAGAAATAAAATTAAAAAAAATAATGCATTTGTACATCGAAATCACAGTATTACATAGAAACCTGTTAAATAACATAAACAACAATCAAATGAATTAAAAGTATCACGAGTCTAAAACCACGTTTTTTTTTTTGTAATCAAGGAAAAATATGGTTGGTGAAAGTAACAATACATCAATTATTAATTCAGATAAAAAAAAAAAATAACATTTAAAAAATTCATATTCATTATTTAATTCATGATTTTAAAACGTGATTATTATATTATTGAAAATGTATTAAAATCATTAATAATAAATAAATAATTTAAAAAAAAATTAGGAATATTTATAAAGTTGTATTTTTTAGTTTAAAAAAAAAAAATTATGGCTAAAATTATAATTTTAATATTTATTATAGAAAACTAACTTTATAGAAATTACACAATTAGTTAAAAACCTATCAAGAAATAAATCAAAGTTTTTTTTTAACGACATAAATGTAATTATTTTGTAAATATTCATAATCAATTATATCATAAGTAAAATTAATTATTTTGAAATACAAACTGGAATCAGAGAGAGAGAGAAAATGTATTTCAACGTATAATATTTTCCATTGGAAAAGTGTAATAAAACACATTATTAACATAATTTTTTGTTAAATAAATAATTGAAAAAAAAAAAAAAAAATTAAATTTAATATCAATGTGAATTAAAAACTTGTTTCAGCTCTTATTGGGCTTAGATTTCGACTTGTGATTTCCTCATTCCTCCCAGCTCTTTTGTAAAACCTTTGACACTGTGATTTTGTATCAAATATTGGAATAAGAGTCAATGCAGAGAAAAGAAGAAACAAGGATGCAAATATAAAAACAGAGTCATAAGATCCAGTTAATTCCATCACATATCCTAAAGGCAAAAAAATTCATAACTAAAACTTGTCAGACTTGGTCTGAATTATAGAGAAAATTATAGAACACAAATTAAAAACATTTTGAATCATGACTAAATCTAAGAAAATTAATGTGTATATACAAACCTGCTGCAGGAGTTCCTACTACAGTAAAAACTCCTAAAAATAATAATATAATTCCAAAAGCATTTGTCAAATTTTCCAAACCTACTAATTTCACTAATATTATAGAACGTAAAGATCCTTGTTCAGCTGTAGGAAAAAAAAAAAAAAAAAGAAAAAAAAGGAAAATTAATTGACTAACTAGAACATTGTAAAATATAAACAGATAACGTTTAACTACCGAGAACGAATCCATATAAAGAAGCATAAATAAAAAAAGCAACTTTTGAATTTAAAAAAACGACGCCGGCATTTAAAAGAGCGCCAAAAAAAACAAAAGCAAAATGAAAAATGATTAAATTCAATTTTGGAATTGTGGCAATTATTCCACAAATAACACGTCCAACCGTGTTTGTGATACCCATGGCGGAAAGTAATAAAGAAGCATCGCTTGGGCTCATCACGTTTAATTCCAAGGCTCTGACTGAAATAAAAAAAAAAAAAATTAATTGTTTTCGTTAACGAACAAATTTTTGTTTTTCTATTTAATTAATATTAATATATATATATAGTTAGGTACCGTATGTAAAATAATTAGGTACATTAATGCCGATGGCGAGAAGACTAGTAGAAACGGAGAAAATTGAAAACTGAGGATATTTGACGACTCTAAAATTAAACATTGTTTTTAGAGTACGACTTATACTTTCTGGAAACAAATGACATTTTTTATCTCTTTCTTGTTCTAAATCTCGATACGTCGGTAACCTCGATACCGACAAATTATAAAGGAAAGAACTGTTAAATGTCTAAAAAGAACAAAAAACAATCGTGATGAAAATAATATGACACGGGATTTAAAAGAGGAGGGTAAAGAAGGATGAAAAAATGAAAAAGAAACCTACATTACTAAGTTGACGGCTTCCGGATTTCAACATTTTAGAACTTTTTTCGTATGCCGGCAAATGAAGGATGCTACCATCATAAAATATATCATCTCTATACAATGGCCTCACTCCAAGATTTTTCTTTCTTTTAAAACATCTTTTTAAATATTTACAAGAATGCGTACAGCACGTACAACACCTGAAGAATCGTTAGGGTATTATTATTATTATTATTATTATTGGTCACACATGGAATTTAAAACGAGTATAATAAAACCTGAATTTTTTGTCTCCCTCGTTTACGGTAAAATCGTTAGAAGATTGAATTTGACTAAATTCTGTCATTCTCCTTTTAAGTTCAGAATTTCGCGTTGAATTATCTTTAGTGGGTTTAACAATTTCATAACTTTCAAATGAATCCATTCTACTTGCTAATAAAGTCACTCTGAAATTAAATTTTTTATATTTTTATAAAAAAGAAGACGACAGATTTTTTTTCTCTCTCTCGAAATTATTGTACGAAAAAAAATCCATAAAAAAAAAAAAAGTAAACTGACTTGCTTCCCTTTAATTGATTAATATTAACAGCTTCTGCTGCTGTAGGATATCTTGCATTATGCATGGATCGAACTGTTTTTTCATTTTTTCTTAATTTGTCAAATACGCGAGATTCTTCAAGTGTTATAGGAGGAAGAGAACGAAAGCAAATGGCTACTATAGAACACGAAAACACCAAACCTATTTAAATAAAATTTACATTAAAATTCATTGTAATGTATGTAAAAAAAAATTTTTTTTTTAGGAGGTTCTTACCAGAATAACCGATAAATATTTGCCTCCAAGTGTATCTTTGTATTAGAATTTCAATGACTGGAGCAAAAGAAAATGTTCCGACTCCGCTTGCGCTCACAGTAATTCCAGTAGCAAGAGCTCTCCATTTTTCAAAATAAAATCCAACTGTCAAAACAACATTCATGTACATCATACTGAATCCAAGTCCTGGTTAAAAGAAAATAGTTCACGATAAATATGTTAAATTATTAATTTATATAAATTAATTACAAAAAACTTGTAATAAATTAACCTCCGATAAGTCCATAAGTTACAAAAAGCATTTGAACGGAATCCGTCAATATGGATATTGCTAAGCCAAATGAAGAAACAAAACTTCCAGCAATTATGACGGGTCGAAATCCAAACCTGTTGGATAAACTCCCCGCAATGGGAGCTCAAAATAAAATATTTTTTTTTTTATTATCAATTTATTTATTATAGTTTCCAGTTTTATTCTCCACAAAATCAAAATACAAATTTTTCTCCAAGTCATTTTGTTTTTAATTCTTTAGTACAATATACTATTTTTTTTTTGTAAACAGATAATATAAATAACAACTTACCAAATATGAAATAAATTCCCGTAAAAAGAGAATTAACAAGTGAAATTTGAGATACTGATGCATTAAATTCATCCCGAAAAACTGGAACTAATATTCCAAATGATGTGGATATTCCATCCATGATAAGAATGCAAATAAAAGCAGCAGCAACAACGACCCAACCCCAACCACCATCGGGTGGAACCACCTTAAAAAAAAAAATTAAATTTTTATTTTATATATATATATTTTATAAATCATTTATATATATATAAATAATAATTAATAATACAATTATTTTTTCCACATTTAAATCATCGTTTATGGAATTATGCATATTTAATTCGTTAAAACCTTCCACATGTGTCCGTTTGTGTCCATACACAATATTTATCATCTGTACTCAAAAAACCGACATTTACATTTTATATTTATATATATTAAAAATATATATAATATACGTATTTGTGTCATTTTCCACGTACAATATTATAATAAATATATTATTAAAAAATATTCAGTTTAAAATAAAATAAAATTTAATTATTGTTTATAAACACAAAAACATTATTATTTAATTTTCCTTCTTTTTTTTTTTTTTTTTTATTACAGCAGAATAATGATCTGGTTCGCAGAAGTTTTTTATAACTTCTTCTGCTAATTATCGAAAGAAATTTAACACGATTAAAAAAAAAATTTAATTATTTTAAAAAGTGAACGGAAAAATCTCTTTAAAATTTTACTTATTTGACGTCATTATATATGTGTACGAGGTCATTAACCGTTTTTGGCGACCAGGTAAATATTTAATTATAATCATTATTATAATCGAAAGAAAATATTAAAAATTTTTTTTTTTTTTAAATTTCGCAAAAAAAAAGAAAAATAAAAACTCGTTTGCCATGACATAAATGAATGCATTTAATTTTTTTCTTTTTTTTTTTATGTTGATCATTTCTTATGAAAATAAACAAACATGATTTTTGATTATGAATTGAAATAATTACAATATTAATTTTTTAAAAAAAATATACATATATATATTCTTTTAATTACAAATAACGTGAAAAATGTATAATTAAATATACATAAAAAACAGTTTAGGTAATATACACACACGCATACACACACACACGCACACACACACACACACATGTATATATTTATAATTGACAAGTAAAATACAACTTTTATAAAAATATAAATTAAAAAATAATTTTCTCTCTCTTTCTCTCTTTCTATCAAAAACTTTGTGTTCTCGTCATATTTTAAATCATTTTAATTTTATCGTTACTCTAAAAACACATTTGAATAAAAATTTTACTTTGAACACTTTGAATAAAAATTTTAAACAACCTCAACCAAGTCCATCATCCATCACCTTACATAATAAACTTTTTCATTCGTCATAAATTATTATACTGTTTTATGTAAAATGATTCAATATACAAAAAAAATACTATTAATTAATTACATTAAAAATATTTTTACATGGCAAATCCATGTGGCAAAAAAAAAAAAAAGTGTAAACGTTACGATTTGTTATTATATTGATGCTTTGCTAAATTGACAGTTTTTTTTATAACCGTCGTATTACCATTCGGATGATAAAAACGATAATAAGAAACAGCAAAAAAAATTCCGAGAATAAATGAGAGAACTTGAACTGCAATTATTCCATAATGAAATTCCGGATTTTTAGACACCATTTCTGACACACACCTACAATGCAAATAATAATATCATTTATATTCATATAGAAAATCCGATGGCAAGGAATTTTAATAATATTAAAATTTTCATACCATACGACCAGCGTGGCTGTATTTTCGATGAAACATACTAAATAATAAGCCAGATATGAGTATCTGGTTGGTCCATCTTTTGGAGAAATAAATGCTATTATATAAGCTAATCCTAATGCGATATTAAATATTATTTCTTCGCATCTTGAGGCACATAGACTGGACTGATGATGAACCATGTCTATCCAAAGAGACATGACTAACCAATGAGCAATACATATTGTGACAAACCAAGCAGGATATAAAGTTGCCAACAAACTCAATGCCAAAATTCTGGAAGCTTTAAATGAAAATTCATTTAAGTTTTACACTAAGTATTTACACAAAATATTTTCAAGTAATTAAAATAATTCAGTACTGAAATTTTCCATTTTAAAAAAAACCCACTGGCACTAAATGCATTCCAACAAAAAATAAATATGGCAGCTATTGTTGACAATTTTTCCTTATCTTCTCTTGCAAACCTAACTGATCTATGATAAGTTGTTAATGCCCAAGATATAGAAACAACAGAGCACAAAATAGCCCACGTTTGATAACCTAAAATAAAATGTATTTTTAATATTTCATATTCGAAATCCCACTCTGTTAAACTATTAAATTAATGTAAACTGTTTTTCTTTTTTTTAATGTATTTGTTTTTTTTATACCAAGAAAAGTAACTTCAAAGGTGATAGGCAAACTGTTAAATGCTTTTTTATATTGAGATAATAAAAAAACTAATTGAATTATAGCTTGTGGAGCAGACATCAAAAAGCATGATAAAAGTCTCAGCAATGAAGCATTTGTTTCTTCATCTATCATCATTCTTAAATACTTTTGCTGGTTCAGGAGATTTCCCTTTTTTTTGTGAATACTACTCAATATTCCATAAGCTAAAGTATCATAGTACCTGAAATGCCTTAATTGTTTTTAACACAATCAAACCAAATAAAAACACAAAAAAAAATAAAAATAAAAAAATTTAATTAAAGTCATGTGTTAATGTATTACTTTTATTAAAAACTATTTTTCAAACATTTAAATGTAATGAAAATTTTATTAAACAAATTCAACTGAAGTCAACAAAGAAAAAAATTATTTAACTACAGCTACTGATAATGTAACATGAGTCAAACAATAAAAAGCTAAAATTAAATTTATCAATGTAATGTTTACAACACTAATAAAAAATCTGACAAACTGCGAATAAAAGAAAATTATAATAACTGAAACAAATTATATTTCTACTATTTGAAAAATTTAATAAATTTGACTTAGCTCTCTAAATAATTATTGAAAATCAATTTAGCAAAATTTTTAAGAAAATTTTAAACTTACAATCAATTTATTTGAAATTTCATATTAAGTTACGATAATTTTTACAAGTTTTTTTTTTTTTTTATTACGCAGAACTGATTTCAAGGCAAAGAAAATAAAATAAATGCAATAGACTAATTTCAATGGTTGTATGCACATAATTAATTTTATTTAAAAAAAAAAAAAGTTTTTCTCTTTTTATAAAATCTTTGCAAACATTATTTTAAAATAAACTAGTTTTAATAAAAGTCAGAAATAAAAAAAAAACAGTTAATTTATTATGTTAATTTAAAAAAAAAGTATTACAGTTGAAAAATCATATACAAAACATAAAGTTATATAATCATACCTCAATAAAGGGGCCAATTGAAGCACTAACATAATTATTCTAATACACCATTTCCAAAGAGGCTGCCTCTTCATTGATGGCTCATCTTCATCCTGAAGATACCTAAACAAGAAACCATGTAAATTAATTGTATTTAATTGTAAATATAATATTGTATAAAAGATAAAAAAAATTATATTTTGAAATAATATTTTTTACCTTTAAAAAACCTTTTTTTTTTTTTTAAAGAGCTTTCTTATTTTGTCACTTGGGTTCAGGGGAGAAAAAAAAAAAATTCTTTTTAAAATTACATGGTAATCTTGTAATGATTGAATGATTAAATAATTCAAATACAAGCATAAAACTTTCAATTACTTACCACCTCATGCTGAATGCGGAAGACGTTAATGCAGGCACTATAATAAAAATTAATGTTAATGTAAAAAATGTAACTTCTTGAGCTTTATAATAAATATAAGCTATCCAACAATGTAAATACAAATCCAATATAAATGTCAAGATGGATAGAATTAAGGTCAAGATATAAAATCGACCCAATTCCATTTCCTTAAAAACTTTAACACCATCATCTTTTTTATTGTCACTAATTATGTCAATATGTCCCGAACTTTGATTTAACGAAAACCTTACACCCCTGAATTCATTAGCCATTTTGTGAAATTGGTAATTATTTCACGTGGAAGAAGACGTATTTAAAAAAAAAATACGTGTCATTAAAGTCAAAGTGTCATATATTTTTTTTTTCATTGATAACGCTCAAATTATTTTTAATTATGTTTTCACATAAGGAAGAAAACAAGTATGAAATAATTAGGTCTTCACTGCAGTAAACAGAAGGAAGAATATTTTTTTACTTTGAAAATTTACGGATAAAAATGACTTTTTAAAAAAGAAAAAAAAAATGTAAATATGCCAAGTGAAATTTATTTTTGCCAGATCCTGTAAACTTTGAGTACTATACGTTAAAGTACACCATGAAAAAATATTGTGGGCAATTCAGAAACTCAACTTGGGATCCCATTCTCATAATGTCTCAAATAGTGGCTCTTCAAGCTTTATTCTATTTAAGTTTAGGTGCTATTGTTTTTCTGATGGATTGTTTATTAGGGTCTTCAAGGTCTCTGGATCACCTATTTAAATACCAGGTTTTAATTTTTTGTTTTTTTTTTTTGAAATTATACTATTATACTATGTAATTATACTATTGAAATAAATTTATATACATCATGAAATATGATACAATATGTTATACAATTATTACTTATTAACGAATGTTATTAACAAAATAATTATTTCAGGAAATTCATGTGAGAGACTTGGGTGGGAAATTAATTATTGCTGGATTTATAATAAATGCATTATTCGGGTATGTAATAGACAAAAGTTAATCAAATCTCATATTCATTTTTTTTTTTTTTTGTGGTTTGAAAATTGATTTCCTAATAAATTTTTATTGTTTTTTTTTTTTTTAGAGCATTTGGACTTTGGTTCATCGTGGAAAGAACTAAGCAATGTTTGGACTTTTCATCGACAGCTCATCTTATTCATTTGATTGCATGTTGGAATTACAATTCATCATTTCCTAATACACTATCTTGGTGGCTTTTAAATTTAGCCTGCTTAGGGATAATGTGTATTTCAGGTGAATTTCTTTGCCTTAGAAGTGAATTGAGAGCCATTCCTATAAATTTCACACCAAAAGTAGATTTATAATGATGGCTTTAAAAAAAAAAATGTAAAATGGAGCAGCCTGTTATTTAAAAATAAATAGTTTGAATTCTACAATGTTTTTTATAAATTGATTATTACTATTATTATTATTATTAATATTATATATAATTTTTTAAAATACCATTTTGTTTTGTTATTTACTCCTTTTCTTGTCATTCCTAAACTTTTTTACTACATTTAACCAGCCATTAAAAAAAAAGGGCGGCAAATGATGAAATATTTATAAACTTCGATAAATCGAATCCTACCAACGTGACGCAATGTAGATATCGAAAAAAAAAAAGTTTCAAAACTTTTTTTCAAAAACTTCAAAACTTGAAACAAAATGAAACTTTTTAAATTGAAAGAAAGTTTTTCATTTGATTTCAATTCGATCAAACGGTCGTAATTTATAGTTATCATTTTATCTTAACGTATTCAGGTAAATTGAAATTAATTTTTAAATGTTATTATCAACGGTGTAAATAACGGTCATTTTTTTGTTTCTTATTTAAAATGAAAGGAAAACTCGAACGTTACCTTAAATATAATCCATCGTATAAAACCTGAAAAGAGTTATTTATTGAAAAGACATTTTTCTTTGGTGATTGACGTGATTCGAAAACGACGAAATAATGTTCGAGATGTTTGTCGGTGTCGTTCATACATCTAAAATGAATATCTATCATATATAGTTATGATGTTTGAAATCTGAAATTGTAAAAAAAATGATTTTTATATGAGCGTAATTAATAATTAATTTATTTCAAACTCTTAGAGAAGTTATTGGAGTGATTTGAATAACTTACACCATCCGTGATATCGCGAAAGAGCCGGTAACGTTGGCGATGATAAACATTATTCCAGGGTTCCCTTGGCGACCATCTTACATAAAAAAAAATTTTTTTTATATATTAAATAATGAAATTAAATTTGTAAACTTTTTATATACATAAATAAAAAAAAAAAAAAAAATAAGAGATTAGTGTAAACAATATATTTATATATATATATATTTGCATAAAGGACATGCATTTTATTCTGTCCCACATGCAGTATTTTTTTATTTATTTACATTATATTAAAAAAAAAAAAACAAAATAGTTGGAAAAAATAATAATAATAATAATAATAATAATTTGAAATTACAATTTTTTTTTTTTTTTTTTTTTTTTTTTTAGTGCGTCTCAGTTTTTTACCGTTAGACATTTATTTAAATAATTATTAATAAATAATAAAAATAATAAAAAATAATAAACAATAATAATAATAATAATTAATAATTAATAATAATAAATTGAAAATGTGTGAAAAAAAGGAGGAAAATGAAAAGAAAGACAAAGCCAACGATATTGATGATCACATATCAAAAAGATATGAAATGAAAAAACGATTGGGAAAGGGAGTGAGTATTATTATTATTAATATTTTTTAAAATATATTTTAATATTTTAAAAAAATAATTATTTTCCTATGATTTTTTTTTTTTTTTAGGCCTATGGAATCGTTTGGAAAGCCGTTGATAAAAAAAGTAGAGAAGTTGTAGCCGTTAAAAAAATATTCGATGCATTTAGAAATCAAACAGATGCACAAAGAACTTTTCGTGAAATTATGTTTCTTCAAGCATTTAAAGATCATCCAAATATAATTCGTTTAAGAGGACTTCATAAAGCATCTAATAACAGAGATATTTATTTAGTTTTTGATTACATGGGTGAGCCATTTTTTTTTTACTATCAATTATAAAAAAAATCATATCATAAAAAAGATGAGAAAGACAGCAATTTTTTTTTTTTTCCCTTTTGTATTGCAGACAGCGATTTACATCATGTTATTAAAAAAGGAAACATATTGAAAGACATACATAGGAGATACATAATGTATCAATTATTACGAGCAACGAGATATCTACATTCTGGGGATGTAATACACAGAGATCAAAAAGTATGAAAAAATTATTCCTGGATCATTTAGGAAATGAAAAAACAAATAAATAAATAAAATTAATTATTCAAAAAAATATTTTAAAAAATTGGCTCGTTTTTTTTTTATTGTAGCCATCGAATATTCTCATAAACGCAGAATGTAGAATAAAACTAGCAGATTTCGGATTGGCGAGATCTCTTGCTAATTATTATACAGAAGAAGAAACGGAAGGACCGCCATTGCTCACGGATTATGTTGCCACGAGATGGTACAGAGCACCGGAAATATTAGTTGCATCGAAAAGGTATACAAAAGGAGTAGATATGTGGTCGTTGGGTTGCATATTGGGTGAAATGCTTTTGGGAAAACCTTTATTTCCGGGATCATCGACGGTAAATCAAATCGAAAGAATAATGGCTGCACTTCCCAAACCGACTCCTCAAGGTATAATTTATTTATTATTATTAAATTTTCCCAACGTAAATTATTATAATGATTGGATTGTTTTTAAGAAATCAGCAACATGTGTACCGGATATGGTAAAAGTTTATTAGAAGGTGTAATTGGACAAAAAACAAATCTCAAAGACATGATAAAATCATCTTCGCAAGAAGCCATCGATTTAGTTACAAAATTATTAATATTTGATCCCGGAAAACGATTAACAGCATCTCAAGCATTGACTCATCCATACGTATCAAAGTAAATATTTTTTTTTTTTTTGTTATTAATTTAAAAAAACCGTTTATTTAAACAACAGGAAAAAAATTTATTTATCATATTATTATTATTATTATTTTGAAATTAGATTTTGCAACGGTAGCGAAATATGTTTAGATCACAGTATAATTCCACCGTTAAATGACGATGTTCAACTTTCGGTATCCGAATATCGTAACAAACTTTATGAGCTTATAGCCAACGGTAAGAACACGATAAGTAAAAAACAAGGATCGACATCGAGTTCGAGTAAAAACAAAACATTAGACGTGGATCGCAGTAGGAAATCAATAGAAAACGTACAAAAAAAACTAACTAAATACATTGAAAACAGAGGAAAAAGAGACGAAATGACAGAGTACGTTAACAATAATAATAATAATAATAATAATAATACTAATAATAATAAATCCAGTCTAAGAAAATACAGGTCGTCGTCATATAAAAATCATTCAGTCGAAGAATTAAGAGAAAAATCTGGTTTTACAAATCCGGTGATAGCAACAAAATCAGAGCCAAGTCAAAAAACAGGTGACATTTTTTTCTCTTTTCTTTTTGTCTCCTTAATTTTAATTAAATAAATATTAATTATTTAATTGAATTAATAAGAAACAGTAGTTAAGAAAATTGGTTCAAGTCCTCAACATAGGCATAATGTTCCTCCAGTTCAAAATCGTAACGATTGTTGGTCTGAATGGTCATCGAAACCATTTATTGGAATACAAAGTAAATCCTGTTACATTCGTCAAAGGTAATTTATCAAAGTATGTTTATTTATTATGTTTTTTTTTTTTTTTTTATGTTTTAAACTCTAAATTTTCCACCGGATGTCAATTAATTTTCTTTCTTTTTTTACAATGACCGAAAAAAAAAAAGGTTTGAAAAACAAAATAAAACTACAGATTGTGGTGACGAATGTAATTTAACAAAAACTTCCGGTCACGGTGGTCATTTTATAAATGCAAGTCCAAAACCAGTAAAAGGAACAACAACCATTTCTTATCACCAAGAAAAACATCGTCAGGTGAATTATTTTATACCTATATATATTAATAGATAGTATGAATACCTTTAATAAAACCTTACTTTTCCATTCCAGAATAATTACAAATTTGGAAATATATCAAGTCTGCCAAAAGTCGCCGTACAGAAAAACGATTTTGTTAATCATTATCCGGATAATACATCATCATCATCATCTCTTACGAGGTGAGCGAACATTGCATTTTAAATAATCTTTTCTCCAGTGTGAAGAAATAATTTTCTCATTTTCTTTTCTAGTTATAATCAAATTCAAGGATACATCACATCATCAGATTTACATGATATTAGGGCAGTACTAAAAAATTAAAAAAAAAAAAAATTTCAATTATTAAATAAATAAAATAATTGCAAAAAGATAAAAAAAATAATAAAAACAATTAATTACCTGTAAAATAAAATTAGTTATTATTTTCCATAAGCAAAGGGAAAACACAAATTTTCTTTTTTCTTTTTTTTTTTAAACTATAAAAAAAATATTTATTATATCAATCAATCAATCAATCACATTCTTGCTTGCCCTTTATATGCACTCGTATCATTATTATGTCCTGTGAATACACACAAACGAGAAATAAAAAAATATGTGTGTGTGTGCGTATACGTATGTGTTTTTTTATTTAATAATAATAATAATAATAATAAAATATATATTATTAAAGATCCACCATCCGTAATTTTTAATAATAAAAATCCTTTATTTATTTATATTAATAATAATGATTATTATCGATTCGCCGAGGGAAAGAGTGAGAGAGAAAAAAAAAACACGGAAATAATTTTTATTTAATTAATTTTATTATTTATTAAAAAATGAATAAAATAAAAAAAAAAATAATAATAATAATGAAAAAGCGTAACTATAGCATTAAGTAACATTTATTATTTATTATCCGTGAGAGAAATAAAAAAAAAAAAAAAATTACAATTTCTGTTGTTGCTCTCTGTTGCTCTGTTTTTCATTTGCATTTAAGCGTTAAAAAAAAAAAAAAAAAAAAAAAATTTCATTGGCAAAAAGCACCCGAAAGCTTCAATACATACCCATTAGTATAAAAAAAAAAAAAAAATAATAACAATAATAATAATAATAATGATAATAAATACAAAAAATATAAAAAAATTTTTTTTTTTTAGTTTTTTTTTTCTTCATTTTTTTTTTTTTTTAATTTTTTTTTTATCATTTAAATTTTTAATAATAATAATAATAATAATAATAATTTATACAAAATAAAGTGCTCCCAATAACTTCCCAAAATAAAAAAATAAAAAAAATAATTTATAAATGTTTTTCTTTTTCTTTTTTTAAAGTATAATATATTCATTCAATCATTCATTCATTCATTCATATATTTTCATTGTTATAATATATATGTATATATATGTATGTAAGTCGAAGCTGCTAACTTGAATAAATTATTAATATTTTTTTTTTTTTTTTATACACATTCAAAAAAAAAATCCCCAATGATTCAGTCTAATAAACGATGTAAAGCCAATAAACAAATAATAATAATAATAGTGTTTTAATATATATATATATATATATATATATATATATATATATATATATATATATATATATATATATATATATATATATATATATATATATATATATATATATATATATATATATATAATATTCGAGAGTATAATTTAAAAAAAAAAAAAAAAATATTTTAAACGCCGAATAATGAATTTTGTCGGTTTTTTATCAAGCCGGGCCGATTTTAAGAAGGAAAAACTTTTTCCTTTTTCTTTTTCCTCCATTTTTTTTTTCTTTTTTTTGTTAAATTGTCGTTAATTGTATAAAGTCAGCTCACCGGCGATCGATTTTTTTTTTTTTTTTATATATTTATATTAAATTTAAACCAACAATCTCGATTGATGGATGGATGGATGAATGAATGGATGGCGTTTAAATATAAATATAAATATATATATATATATATATATATACCGGTTTTAAAAAAGGCACATATTAAAAAATAAAACAAAAAGGAAAGAAAATCCTGGATGGAATGTGTTAATTTTTTTCATTAAATGAGTGCGGAATTCATATTAATAAAAAGGTGCATTAAAGTATAATAATAATAATAATTAATGATAAATTATAAGTCACCAACACCACGGATATAAAGGAAGGATAAAATTAATAATAATAATAAAATTAAGTTTCGTAAATAAAAAAAAAAAAACAAAAATTTAGTTGGCAATTAATTGTTGGGAGAAAAGAGAAAAAAAATGCGCTCGCAACAACTTTTACCGTGACAGACAGACAGACAAACAACAACAGCAGCAATGACAAAAGACACACGATTAAAATTCAATTTGACAATAACAAAATAATTAGTTACAATAATAATGGTAATAATAATAATAATAATAATAATAATAATAAAACGACTACTACACGATAATAAAAATCCTGGAATGAAGAATCCCTGTAAAGTATCCCCCCCCCCAATCCTTTTTCCCCCACGCCAATCAATGTGGTACAAATACACGCACACGCACATTTATATTATCATTATCATTATCATTATTATTGTTCACAAAGAACCGTAATAAAATAAAATAAAAAAATAAAAAATAAAATAATTAATGTTACATAAAAAATAAAATAAAATAAATTAAAATTAAAAAAATTTTTTTTTTTTTTTTTTTTTTTTCCCAAAAAAGTTATGAATTTTATCTGAAATGAAAAATCAATCAATATCGATAAATATCGATCAATTTTTTGTTGTTGTTTTATATTAATTAGAATTGTGGGGGACTCATACCTTTACTGTCCAGTCTGCTGTTGAATTTCAATTTTTTCAACTGTCATGTCCGGATTCATTGCTGTGGCTTCTTGTATGGCTTCTGCTAAAGCACGATCGTGATCTATTGGATCTCCATCCGATTGAATTGTTATTTTTTGTTCGACACGAGTTTCCACTACTCCATCTTTTTCCGTTTTATACTGTAAACAAAATTTATTATCATTATCATTATTGTTTTTTTTTAATGGGAAAATAATAATACGGGGGGGTGGTGGCGGTGGAAGAGACTTACCGTTATTGTTTCAACGGTTCGCGTCTTGCTGGAAATTGTCTGCGAGGAAACAATTTCTCCAGTCGATGAATAAGAACCGTCACCGCTTTCCACGGCGACTTTTCTCACTTCCGTTTCAATTATCGGTAATTTTTTCGTAAAATGTTTGTCCGTCGGTATTTTAGAAGAACCATAAACCAACTTTTCCGTTTGTACGATCCCTTGCGGTGACGTCGCGGAAAACTGTAAAAATAAAAACAATTTTTTTTTTTTGTTGAATGTGCTTGAGAGAGAGAGAGAGAGAGAGAGAAAATAAAATTGATTTATAATAATAATGATAATTTTATTTACTTTATTTTTAATATTTGGATTAACGAACAAATCGCCACCGATTTCGTAATCATCAATGTTCGTACCGGAATCGTCGGTGTCAGAACTTGCGGAATCTTCATTGGAATATTGTTGCTGTAACAAAAAAAAAAAAAAATTTCATTTTATAAATATATTGTCGTCCAAGAGGAAAATTAACATATTTTCCCCCCCCCCCCTTCCCCCTCAATAATTACCTGAGCCTCTGGAAGTAGAGTCGTGGTTGATTTCATTTCTTGTGTGACGGTTCTTTTTTCTTGTCTCGTTGCACTCGTAGTTGTCGAATGAGCGACCGTTTTTTCTTCTACCTGTATTTGTTTAAATAAAAAAAAAAAAAGAGTTTAGACAAAATATAACGAGAAAAAAATGATCGTTTAACGACGTCGAATGTAAATTGAAATTTAAAAATATTAAAATCACCTTATTCCGTTCCTGCGAATCGGTCAAGTGTGTTTTTTTAATAAAAAAATATACATACATATATTTATTTATTTAAATAATTATATGTGATGTGATACGAAAATAATAATATTAATAATAATAATAATAAATATTACCTGACTCGTTTTTGCTTTGGTTCCTTTGTTTTCGTGCATTGTAGCAGTGCGAGTTGTGACAGCTGTTGCTGTTATATAAGGACTTTTGCTTTCGTCATTTGAATTTTCCGCCTGTTGGAAAAATGCATAGGAATAATTAATAATAAAATCGTCATTTATGATGATAATAATAATAATAATAATAATAGTAATAATTTATATTAACCTTGTTTATTTGCGTCGAGACTTGAACTTCTCCAGATGTTAAATTTTCAATTTTCTCTTCTATATTTTCCGTCACTCCTTCCTTATCTTTGACCATTAGCTGTTTTGTCGTAGTTTTGACTATTTTTGGTCCAGTAACCGATTTGTTGGAATTTTCTTCAATTCTTTTATCATCATCATCATCATCATCAACACCTTGTTGTTGTTGTTGTGTCTTTCCTTCTTGTTTTTTTCCTGTGCCGAAGTATGAAGACAACTTCGACGAACCTATATAATAGGTTAATTAATTTTCCAAATCATTAACTTGACCCACCAAATCGTATCGGTTTTTTATTTTTTTACTTTTTTTACTTTTTTTTTTAAAATTCGATTAACACACATAAATAAAAAGAGAGACAGACATAGAGAGAGAGAGAGAGAGATATACAAAGAGAAATGAGCAGAGAGATGATGTCCGGAGGTCCTTCACCCAAAATATATAACACAAAAAAAATTCAAGCAAATATATTCGAAAATCTTCTGCGCAAGCTGTTGAGCCGGAAGTTGAAGTGGCTCCAAAGTATGTGTGTGAGTGTGTGTGTGTGTGTTTGTTGTCGTCGAAGCTGATTCTTCTCATAATTTTCAAAAGCATTTTTTTTTTTTTCTTTTCCTTTTTCTTTTCTTTTGTTTATTTTTTTTCCCGTTTGTTTTTGTTTTTTGTTTTTTTTTGTTTTTTTGTTTTTTTCACTTTGAAGCAAATTTGTTATAAATAATAATAAGCGATAAAAAAAAGTAATTTCTTATTTTTTTAAAAAAAAAAGTTACTGTCCACCGGATGATTTTCCGGGACTTTTTATTTTTTCTTCAGATCCTGAAGATTTTCGACCTGTTAATTTGGGTATTTTTGTTTTACCCTCTTCGGTTTTATCATCTCCTTCGGGTTTTTTAGAAATTTTTTTTGACGTACGTTTCTTTATCTCTCCTGACTCTCTACTACTACTTTCACTTTTACTTTCAGTATGTTCGGTCGCATCGGAACTCGATTCGGAACTCGAACCGGAAGAACTTTTTCTCTTTTTAAACGAAGACGATTTTCTACCGGCTAATTTGGGAATTTTCGTTTTCCCATCGGTTTTTGACGATTTCGATGATTTTTCTAAAATGCTTATTTTTTCTTGAACCGTTTGACAATCTTCGTAATTAGAAGAACCTGAATCGGACTCCGATGAACTCCAGTGTTCTTCTTTATCCGTTCCTCTTGTTACTTTTCCCGTTTTCTTTTCTTTTTTCTTTTTCGATACTTTTCGACCCGCGATCGAACTCGCTTCGTGTTCAATAAATGAAGAGACAAAATCGTATTTGGAACTTTTAAAGTGTTTGCTTTCGGTTTTGGTTGTTGTTTGTCTTACGATTTCGGTATCTTCCGTCGTGCTGTACGTGCTCGTCGTTATTTGAATTTTCCCAATTACGTCCCCTCCGAAAAATTTTTCCACAGTCGTATCGTAATTTATTTTTATTATGTCAAATGTTTCGGGATCGATTTTCCCCGTTAGTTTTTCCCGATTTTGGTCCAACTGTCCGGGAATTATTTTTTTATTGTACGAATCAATTAGCAAGTAAACAATTTTACCCTTAGGATTTTTTAATTTCCCACTTTTTAAATCAATTTTAGAATCTTTTATTTCTCCAGAAACTGAATCGATTTGTCCCGGCATAATAATCCCTGTTTTCGGATCGATTTCTATTTCAACAGCCATTAAATCTTTGCTTTGTAAATTGGGCGAACCGAACATGTCGACTTCAACATTTTCCGATTTCAAAGTTTTACGTTGACCGTGCCTTTTAGGTTTTGGACCGAAAAAACATTTTGTTTTCTCGTCATAATCAACTTCGATCAATCTGAATGTTTTCGGATCGATTTTCCCAATGAGTTTTCCCGTTTTTTCATCCACTTGTCCCGGCAAAAGTTTGTTAGATTTTTTATTCATGACTGCGTAAACGACGAGGTAATTTTTCTTGTCCACGGGTTCTTTTAATTTTCCAGTTTGAACGTTAAATTTTTTATCATTTATTTTTCCAGTTTTTAAATTTATTTGATCGTCGAGCAAACAACCCGTTTTAGGATCTATCAAAAGCTCAACGGATAAATGATTGTCGTCGGAAAAATCTGACGGATCGAAAATAACTTTTTGTGGGCTCGTCGAGTCGCTTCTGGTTTTCCATGCTTCGGATTTCGGTACCCAAAAGCTGTGCGTTTTAGTATCGTAATATATTGTGAATAAGGTCAAAGTTTGCGGATGAACGCATCCCACGAGTTTCCCATTGTTTTTATCAATTTGTCCGGGGATTAAATTCTTTTGATCGTCGATCAATGCATAAATGATTTTTCCTGATTTTTCCTTTTCGGGAGTTTTAAGCTTACCGGTTTTAGCATCAAATTTAGAAGAATTTATTTTTCCGGTTTTCAAATCGACCAAATCGTTTAATACAACACCTGTCGAAGGATCTATTTGAAGTTGAACTAATTGAAAATTTTCTTTCGATTCGATCGGAAGTAATTCGTATTTGAATTCTACCAATTCAACTTCGGTGGTTTTTCCAGGTATGGTTTGCGTGACAACTTCAATGTAACCAATTATACGACCTTCGTAAAAACATTTATTTTTCGGATCGTATTCTAATTCGTGGATTTTAAACGTTTTCGGATTAATTCTTCCGGTTAGTTTTTTCGTCTTTTTATCAAATTGACCGGGAATCAAAGTTTTCGTACTCGGATCGATTATAACGTGAACGATGAGTCCTCTTTTTTTATCAACGGGTTGTTTCAATTTTCCAGATGGTAAATCAAATTTAGAATCGAATATTTTTCCAGTTTTAAAATCAATTTGCCCGTCTAAAAGACATCCGGTTTCCGGATTTATTTGAACTTCAATCGCTTTCACGTCTTCCGTATCTAATACTGGAATATCGTCAAAAGATATTAATGATTTGACGGGTTGTTTAACGCTTTTCTCATCGCCCCGAGTAGATTTTTTTATAAAGAAATTTTTAGTTTTCGAATCGAAAAAGACCGGAATTAAATTTTGCGTTTTCGGATCCATCAAAGCGATGACAGTTCCATCGTTATCATCAAATTGTCCTGGAATTATTTTCATTGTTACCGGATCTACGGCGGCGTATATTTTTTTCGCATCAAATAATGTTTCTTTCAATTTTCCAGATTTCATATCGAATTTCGAATCGTGAATTTCGCTTGTTTTTAAATCTATTTGACCTTCTAGTAAACGACCTGTTTTAGGGTCGAGTTGCAATTCTATAAATTTCACGCCACCGGATTCAACAGAAGGAGGCATTTCGAACGTTATCATTTCACTTATTTCCGTTTCTTTTGCCGGGACTATTTGCGTGATGACTTCTATGTAACCTATGATTCTCCCTTCGTAAAATTCTTTTGTTTTCGGATCGTATTCTAATTCGTGTATTTTAAATGTTTTTGGATTTATTCTTCCGGTGACTTTGCCAGTTTTCTCATCGAATTGTCCGGGTATTAATTTTTTATTATTCGGATCAATAATGGCATAAATTGTTATGCCATTTTTATCAATCGGTTTTTTAAGTTTTCCAGATGGCCAATCGTATTTGGATTCTACTACTTTTCCCGTATTCAAATCAATTTGACCATTTAAAAGGCATCCCGTTTCAGGGTCAATTTGAACTTCGATTGCTTTAACGTCTTCCGTTTCCAATTCGGGTACTTCCTCGTAGACAATTTTAGTTTTTTCTATTTTCCGTTTGGATTTTTCATCGGTCGGATGTAATTTTTTTTCCAAGTTGCTCAAGTAAAACCGGCGAGTGTTCGGATCGTAATCCACGTGCACTAATTTAGATTTATTCACGTCAAACAAAGCTTTAACTCGTCCATCTTTTGAATCCACTTGACCGGGCACCAAAGTTTTTGATTTCGAATAAATAATAAAATAAATAATTTTTCCATTTTTCTCGTCGACGGGTGATTTAAGTTTACCGGTTTTCAAATCAATTTTATCATCATTTAATCGATCCGATGACAAATCGACTTGTCCTTCTAATAAAATTCCCGTTTTAGGATCGATTTGTAATTCGCACACGGTCAATTCTCCTTCCTTTGGATCTGCAACTAATTTACACGAAAGCAAATCGTCTTGATTGATTTCATCATCAGCTTCGAATTTCTTTTGCGGAGCGGATTTTGTAACAACTTCTATGTATCCAATTATTGGTCCTTCGTAAAAATTACCAGTTTTCGGATCATAATCTAAATCGTGAATTTTAAACGTTTTCGGATTTATTCTACCGATGATTTTTCCAGTTTTTTCATCAAATTGACCGGGAATAAGCTTATTATTGCTCGGATCGATCATGACGTAAATTGTCACGCCATTTTTGATGGGTTCTTTTAATTTACCATTTGACATATCGAATTTACTTTCGTTTAGTTTACCAGAAGGTAATTTCACTTGATCCGGCACGAGATGACCCGTTTTGGGATCTATTTGAATTTCAATTACTTTCAAATCGTTTGTGTCCAAATTTGGAAATTCACTTAAATTGACGATCGTTTTTCTTATTTTCTCCGGTTGTTTGGATGAAAGTTCGGGTTCCGTTTTTTCTAATATGTAGTAAAAATTATTCATTCGAGTATCGAATTTTACAGGTATCGACTGGAGGGATTTAGGATCATAGATTCCGACAAGACTTCCATTATCTTTGTCTATTTGACCAGGTAGTAATTTGTTATTTTTCGGATTGTAAAGAATGGGAATAAATGTTGGTTGTTTTTCTTTAATCGGACGTTTGAGTTTTCCAGAGGACAAATCAAAATTAGGTTCAATAATTTTATCAGTTTTAAGATCAATTTGATTATCTAATATTAAACCCGTTTGAGGATCTATTTGGACTTCTAATACTTTTATGTCATCATAGTCGGAAAATAATTTTCTAAATTTAGATAATTCTTTTTCCATTTCGATACGATTCTTTTTCACTGGCGTCGTTTGAGATTCAATTTCTATATACCCGACAATTGGACCTTGGTAAAAACATTTATCGTTAACATTGTATTCGAGATCGTGAATTTTAAACGTTTTCGGATTTATTCTTCCAATGACTTTTCCCGTTTTCTCATCGAATTGTCCGGGTATGATTATCAAACTGGAAGGATCTACAAGAGCGTGAACGATGATTCCATCATCTTTTTTTGCTGAACTTAAAAGTTTACCCGTGTCCCAATCGTGCAAATTTTCATTTATTTTTCCTGTTGACACGTTGACGTGTTTGTTTAACACGCAACCAGTTTTAGGATCGATTTGTAATTCTATTATTTTAACATCTGTAGTATCAATATCAGGAATTTTTTCGAATGATATTTTTAATTTTTCAGTTGATTTTTTAGGTGATTGAGAATTATCATCATCATCATCATGATCACGACGACCACGTTTAGATGAATGTAAGAAAACGGTTCCAGAAGTTTGATCTACGGGTTCGAAAGATTTAGAAATTGGATCGTATTTAATTTCAGTCAGATTATAAGTTTCCGGATCAAATTTTCCAACGACTGTCCTTTCATTTAAATCAACTTGTCCAGGAATTATCGAATTATTTTCTATATTGATGATAACATAAACTTTTTTATAATGTTTTTTACCAATGGGTTTCTTTAAATTACCCGTTTTCAAATCGTAAAGCGATGGAATTATTTTACCGGTATTTAAATCCAATTGTCCATCTACGATACGACCTGTATCAGGATCAACGTTTAATTCTACAGCCATCGTATTTTCCGGTTTAACATCAAATAAAGTTTTTGATACTTTTTTAACTTTTCCATCATCACTTTCTCTGCGAATCATTGTTTTAATTAATGGCTCAAACTTGATGATATTTTTACTCACTATACTTTCTGTCGTTGGATCATAATCGACATCTATAAGTTTTTTAGTTTTGGGATCTAGAGCGCTTTTCAGGGCTCCATCGATCTCGTCTATTTGACCAGGTTTTAATTTGTTCGTTTTTGGATCGATAATTAAAAATATAATTATACCACGTTTTTCATCGACTGGACTTTTTAGTTTTCCCGTTTTTGGATTAATTTTATTAACGTCGATTTCTCCCGATTTAAAATTAACTTGATCTTTGAGTACTTTACCGGTTTTTGGATCTATTTGTATTTCTATTGCTTTCATATCGTTTGATTTTAAATCGGGTAGTTCATCAAATAAAATTATATCTTTTAAATCTTCTTTTTTAGGAGAACTTTTCTTTTCCGGCGTTTCTTTAAATTCTAATTTAAAACCAGTTGAATGATGTGTGGGTTTTACTAATTTTTCTAAAACCGGAGAAAATTTCTGTTCTTGAGAAGGTATTTTCTCCTTACTTTCCGTCTGCTTTTTATCAATTTCATCTTTTTTATCACGAGGTTGTTTATCTGTTTTCGTATCCGTTTTAATTGTACTTGATACCAAGTCGGGAGTTTTTAATTTTTCTTTTTTAGAAACTGGACTTACATCGGGAGTTACATCATCTTTATCTCCCGACTTTGGTAAAACTGATTCTCCTTTCTTATCATCTGATTTTACACTCTTGACGCCGTCTTTGAATTTAAATTCCGAAGGAGGAAATTCGAAAGAACTATGTTGAACAAATTGTTTGGATTCTTTTAACGCAGAAGGAGAAACTAAATCTTCTAAAAATTGTATGGGTTTTCCCGTACCGAAAATTTTACTTCTGGGTTCGTATTTGACTTTTGTAACCTTACGATTTTTCGGATCAAAATAACCAATAAGACAACCATCTCGTTCGTCAAATTGTCCGGGTAATAATGTTTTAGATCGAGGATCCATAACTGCATAGATGATGGAACCGAATTTCGAATCAACTGGATCTTTCAATTTTCCTGTTTTTATATCAAATTTTGACACATCAATTTTTCCTGTTTTTAAATCCACTTGACCGTCTAATATTTTACCCGTTTCAGGATCTATTTGAAGTTGAATTCCTTTCGCGTCCTTATCATCTAAATATTTAAGATTTTCAAAACTAGTATCAAAAACTTTTTCACCATCCGTATCAGGTTCGTCAGGTTCAACGCTGAATTTTTCCAAATATTCTTCTATTTTACCAGGCATAAACCCTCCACTTCTCGGATCATATTTTACTTTAATAAGTTTTTTAGTTTTCGGATCCAAGGTACCGATTAATGTTCCATCTCGTTGATCAAATTGACCAGGTTTCAGCGTCATTCCTCTCGAATCGATAACTGCATAAATTGTTCTACCAAATTTATTATCAACTGGAGCTTTTAATTTTCCCGTGTCAACATCAAATTTTGAAGTTTGAATTTTACCGGTTTTTAAATTGACTTGTCCTTCTAATAATTTTCCAGTTTCAGGATCAATTTGTAACTCGATAAGTTTTATGTTTTCATCCATGATTTCTGGAAATTCTTGGCCGTGAATTAAAGGTAATGTTTCTTTACTGTAAACTTTAGGTTTGGCAAAACTAAATGTTTCCGTCTTTTTATCATAATCAACGTCGATGAGTTTTTTAGTTTTGGGATCTAGTGCGCTTTTCACAGCTCCATCGATTTCATCGATTTGACCAGGTTTTAATTTGTTCGTTTTTGGATCGATAATTAAAAATATAATTTTACCACGTTTTTCATCGACTGGACTTTTTAGTTTTCCCGTTTTCGGATTAATTTTATTAACGTCGATTTCTCCTGATTTAAAATTAACTTGATCTTTGAGTACTTTACCGGTTTTCGGATCTATTTGTATTTCAATTGCTTTCATATCGTTCGATTTTAAATCGGGCAAATTTTGGAAAATGACTTTTTTATCTTTAGACGAATCACCTGTTGTTGTTGGATGTTGTTTAAATTCTAATGGAGAAGGTTTTTTTGTAGTTTCTTGGACAGGCGAACTCTTTATTGGCGAAGAAGGTTTAGTTTGCGGTTTTGTTTTTATATCGAAAAATTCGTTTGTATCAGGATTGAATACTTTATTCAATTTACCAGTTAATGGCTCGATTTGACCGGGTGCTAATATAAGAGTATTAGGATCCACAGCCACGTGATATATATCAAAAGACTCTCCTTTAACTGGATTTTTTAATTTTCCTGTTTTCATATCGTAAAAATTATCTTTAATTTTTTCTTTTTTCAAATCTAGAGTATCTCCAACCAATTTATTATTAGTTAAATCCCATTGAATCTCAAAACTTTTGTGTTTCGGTTTTTTAGGTTGTTTTTCGGTAGGTAATGATTTAGGTTTCGGACTGTCTCTTTCTCGTGAACTGCGAGGATAAGGAACGGGACTGTGAGGTACATCGGTATCTTTGCTTTCAAAATCTTTACTTTCTGTTAAACTCGAAAGTCTTTTTGTTACACCGGGAACAAAACTTCCCGATTTTTGATCGTATTTCAATTCTATTAGTTTTGACGTTTTTGGATCTACTTTTCCTATAATTGATCCGTCCTTTTCACTAAATTGACCAGGTTTTAATGTCATGGTCCTCGGATCAAAAACAGCTATTACAGTTTTTGCAATTTTTTCATCTAAAGGATTTTTTAATTTTCCAGTTAATATATCAAATTTTGAAGGATTTAATTTTCCAGTTTTTATATCTACTTGATCTTCTAATAATTTTCCACTTTCTGGATCTATTTGCAGTTCAATGCTCTGCATGTCTATAGATAGAATGTCCGGTAGTTCCTCGAAACTAACTTCAACTTTCTCTGGCATTTCAATATCTTTACTACCTTTACTAGTTATTTTCAATGGAAAATCTTTTGGTTTTCCAATTATGAAAGTTTCTTTTTTAGGATCAAATTTATATTCAACAAGTTTCATAGTTTTCGGATCCAATGCACCTGTTAAAACTCCATTATTTTCATTGACCTGACCCGGAATTAGAGACAAATTAGACGGATCAATATAAACCAATATAGTTTTAACATCTTTACGATTTACAGGACTTCGCAATTTTCCACTATCAATATTATATTTATTAACATTGATTTTACCATTTCTTAAGTCCATTTGTCCATCTAAAATTTTACCAGTTTTACAGTCCACTTGCAATTCAACAGGTTGAAATTCATTGCGTTTATCAAAAGAAATTGTACCATGATCCAATCCCTTTTTATCAAAATTATCTTTTTCAGAATCTCTCTTACTAAGTGGATTAAAAAGCTGAATTGAATCCCCAGATGAACTTAAAATCAAACTACGAGTTTTCGGATCGTACTTAGCATTTTTGACTTTTTTATTTTCAGGATCAAAATATCCAATTATCGATCCAGATTTACTACTTATTTGCCCGGGATACAAAGTCATGTTGTTAACGTCATATAAACATCTAACAACGACCAAAGGACTATTCTCATTGGCTGAAGACAAATATTTAGACTTTGTGGCTTCGAACGACGGACTAAGAACATTGTAATTCGGAGACAAAAGATTATCCAAAACAACACCAGTATTAGAATCTACTAACAAATCTACAAACTTGAAATTTGAAAAGTCACTATCCGATAAAACTACCGGAGAAAATTCAACGTGAGATTGAGCCCTTTCCATTTCTAAAAATTTATTCGTAACGTTATCCGAACCCCGGCGTTTAAATTCACCTCTAAAATCACCACTATCAGAAACATCAACAGGACTATCCAGTTTGTACTCCCCACTCTTAGAAAACAATACATCCCCAAACTTCCTAAAGAAACCTTTTCCTTTCTTTCCCGAGAGTTTTCCGGATTTCGGATCGAAATCAACGTCAATCAACTCAAGTGTCTTAGGATCGATTTTACCGACGAGTTTTCCGGTTTTCACGTCGAACTGTCCTGGATGTAGTGTTAAAGTACCTGGATCGATAACGGCATCAATGCTTTTACCTAACTTCTTGTCAACCGGATGTAATAGTTTACCGGATTTCAAGTCGAATTTGGGAGCGTTGATTTTACCAGTCGGTAAATCAACTTGACCCTCCAGTAAGCATGCGCTCTTAGGATCGATTTGTAACTCAATGGCCTTCATGTCTGGTCTGTCGAATTTTGGTAGATCACCGAAACTGATATCCGGTAACGTAATGTCGAATTTGGGCATTTCAACGTCGAATCCCTTTCCTAATTTACCGAAGAATCCCCGAACTTTCTTTCCGATGAAGTTTCCGGTTTTAGGATCGTAGTCGATTTCAATGAGGTCTAATGATTTGGGATCAATTTTACCGACTATTTTACCGGTGTCGACGTCGAATTGTCCCGGATGTAAAGTCATGGTACCCGGGTCAATGGCCGCGTGTATTGTTTTTCCTAATTTCTTATCTACGGGATTAAGAAGTTTTCCGGTTTTCAAGTCAAATTTGGGAACGTTGATTTTTCCGGTGTGAAGATCCACCTGACCGTCTAGCAAACGTCCTGTCTTCGGATCGATTTGTAGTTCAACTGCTTTAAGATCCGGTCTGTCGAATTTCGGTAGTTCACCCCACGATATTTCCGGTAAATGAACGTCGAATTTCGGCATTTCGAACTCTAAACTCTTGCCCCATTTTCCGAAGAAACCTTTTCCTTTCTTGCCCGAGAGTTTTCCGGATTTCGGATCGAAATCAACGTCATCAACTCAAGTGTCTTAGGATCGATTTTACCGACGAGTTTTCCG